GTGTAATTCATATAATTATGATTAAGATTACAGGTATTATGACTCTGAACAACATCATTCTCCTTCTAATGAACATGCACAAGACAAATGTGTAGACCAAAAAAGAAAAGGAAGGGGCCCAAATAAATAAATCAAAGTGACTAACACAAAAATTTATGTTGACTTTAATTAAAGTAGGCAGCCTGTGTTTGAAGGAGCTACCAAGATGGCTACTCATATTGGAGCTATCATTCATCGTACGATTTCAATTACGTACACCGATTAGCGACGAGTTTCTAATGATATCAAGGATGATATATGAAAGTCGGTTGTGGTATGTTTATTCAACTATTTCATAAAATTTGTTAAATGATCAATTGATTGAAATTCAATATGTTCATACTAATTGTGTTAACTTATTTAAGAGTAGTTTGACATCCCAATTGACTGTAAAATGATTGTGTTACAATCTGCTGAAAAAGTATTTAGAGACTTTAAAAACAAATTGACAACCCAATGTATTTGACCACTAGCTGGTAAAGGTGATGTATTGGCTATTTCACCTGTGGCATATGCAGATGTCATAAGTATTGAAGATTAGATAAATTTTATTCAATATTGGCTTTCAAAAGATTTCTCAGTATGCAAACCCATTTTCATTAAAAATTGTTTATAAGTCTTTATGCAATATAGCCTTTGATCTTCATATGTGATTGATGCAATTTCTTGATTTTGTAAAAAATCAAAGAACAACAACGAGACATTCGGGCCAAACAATAATATCATCATCAAACAGCAACAAAAAGATATGCAAATGTGAAGTATCAGCTTTATTTATTCGCACACTTGTTTTATACTCATTAATAAATATTTATGAACATTCATTTCATACATTCTGATTCTTTTATTGCGATAATTTAATAAAAATCAGTGAGCTCTAGCATAAAAGTTTTTAGATAGAATGTTTGAATACAATGACATTTATGGAAGGATGGATCTTTCATAGATGAAGCAACTGAGAAAATAGCAAAAAAGATTGTATGTATAACTACTTTTTTGATATAATGTATGATTGGCATTATGGTTATATCCATAAGTGTATACTAGCTTGTATAGATTTGTTGTTATAGCCCAACTAATTATTGTCTTTCAGGATGATTGTGCTGCCAAAGTCAAATCTGGTGAACTAACAACCCACTATGGCGAAATCCTTTGTCTTTAGCATTAGGTGCTAAAGAAAAGCCTTGTCGGGTTTGTAGGGTTAGTAAATTTGCCTTGCCATCAACATTTTTTGGTAAACAACCAAAAACCCCATGAATAAGAAATGCACAATATGAAGCAATAATTAAGCAACAACAGCAACAAATTAATGACCAAGAACAACACCTCAATGACCAACAGCAAAGATTCGCTACTTTGGAGTCCATGTTGGTAACAATACAGTAAGTTATGCCAGTAGGCCGACCTGATAGCATCGTCCTCATACGAGAAGCTTTCGTTGGAAGTAAAAAAACGATCTCATCCTCTGCTACCACCCAAGAAGTATGATATTGTTTATAATTTGAATATTAATTTATTTATTATATTGATTGATTTGTTTTTAATACTTATATTTCATTAACTATTGTAGCAAGATGTTCAGACTCATAATATGACCCTTGCTTAGGCTTCTATGGATGAGTTATCTAAATATTCACTAGAACATTTATTCGGAGGAAACTTTATAACCATTGAGTCTAAAGAAGGGTTATTTGATAAACCATCATTTTCTTTCATTGGTGTGGAGGAAGTTAAAGAATTTTATGAACTGGATGAATTATCAACTGTTGATATCGTTGCTTATATGAGGTTAGCTTATAAATATAAATATGCACACTCAATATATAGTAATCTATATTAGGGTGTAATACTAACTAGCAGTGTTGATTGTTATCGTGCAGCTTCTTATATAGAGAGCTCAAGAGGAGACAGTTGACTAACAAATTTAGATTTATTGACCTAACTTCATTAGTGAGCAGAGTAGCACAGTCGCTTATCGTACTAATCATGTGATCCTATGCATAAAAAGATCGGCTGATTATTATTTGCTCCCGTATAATGTATAGTAAACTCTATTCCAACCTTAATTACTCCAACCTTACCTAAATCTAATCAGATGCGTAATCTAAGTATATCATTGTTATTATTTTGCAGTTGTCATTGGATGTTGATTGAGATTGGCACCAAATCCTTAACGCTATACTTACTTAATTTAGTTAATCCAACGACGATCCTAACCTCGATATTCAAACTTTTATAAAGAGGTATTACACTTTATTATATTATATATATTCTGTTTCTTTATAAGTAATTTTATTTATGTATTAAGTAATTTTTTCTTTCAATTTAAGGTAATATTTGCATTCGATAAGAAGATAAAGAAACTGAAATAGGAATCATTACTGATAAATGTGAACTATATTATTTTTATGTTGAGTTTGTATAGATAAATATTTTTTAAACTCACTCAATTTATTTTTTAGGTACCTTATCAACCTGGTAATACTGAATGTAGATATTATGTCCTTCATTTTATGCGGGAGATAGTGTTACATGATTTTATGATCACACCATTCAATGTTAGTATAAATTTCATAAACTCCTTATATCTTAAAACAAATAAAAAGGTACATTATGTTCTAATTTCTTAACATTTACTTCTGATATTTTTTTAGTGGAAGGGTAAAGAAAGTTTCATGGAAGAAGAACTAGATGAAGTCCATAAAGAATGGTATAATTATGTATTATCAGTTATTAATGTTGATAAACCTTCGGGTTAGACATTGTTGGTTGAATGTAAATATATATGGAACAAATTGTTATAATTTTTTTAACATGCCATGTTGAATGGAAACTTTAAGTTTGTATATTGGGGTATTGGTTTAAAATTATTGTTATACTTAATATGAATACACTATGTGTATTTAATAAATTACGGAATACGATTATTTCATAAAAGTATATTAATATGGCAATGTTATCAATTTTAATTTCGGATATGTGATCAATATATTGAAATACAACAATGTTCATTATGTAAATTCCAAAATGTAATTCATAGTATCAGATATATAAACCAAATGTTTTCTGGGTATAAATACACAACTGACAGCAAATGTTTTTCTGGGCATAAACCTACAACTGACTACACATATATAATATCAAATATATTATTTTGATGGGATTAATGAAAGCATTTTTAGCAAGAAAACGCTTTCAATCATCCCTAACAGAAAAACATTGAAGGTATTTTTTTACCAAAATCTCCTTCAATAATACCAACTAAAATGTTTTTGAAGGCGTTTTCTGGATATAACTGCATTCAATAATCCGCTTTATTGTTGAGAAAATTAAAGGTGTTTTGAGCAAAAATGCCTTCAAGCATCCTTTTCAACTTTTGTCTCTGATTTATTGAATGTGTTTTTGACAAAAACCTCCTTTAATAATCACAATGACAACTTACTTATTAGATTATAGAAGGCGAGTTCGGCCAAAAACTCCTTCAAGAATTCATAGGCCAAAAACACCTATGGATTATTAAAGGCGTCTATTTATGAAAAATGCCTTCAATATTTTCTGAAAAATTTTTTAAAGCAATTGGTGAAGACGTTTTTGTCAAAAAAAAAGCTTAAAATAATCAATTACAAATAATCTATGCAAAAAACCAAAAAATGGCTAAAGAGAGGGATCGAACTTACAACCTTATAGTAAACAACCGTACAATCCAAACATTTTTATAAGCTTGTGAAATTTTTTAGTCAAATTATTAAAGACATTTCTTATGAAAACACCTTCAATAATCTCATATAATTTTTTATGACGTGATTATTGAAGGCATTGTCTGTCAAAAATACATTTTTACTATTCACTAAAATTTCTAATAAAAATTATTCCAGGCATTTTTATCCAAAAATGCCATTGATATTGAGTCTTAGATGGCGTTTATAAGTACTAACACCGCTATTTGAAAATTTAGTGACATTTTGATAATAAACGCATGAAGTTTTATAAAACTACTGAAATTAGCGGCGTTTGTAAGTGAAAGACCACTATAAAACTGTCGCTAGTACATCATTTTCCTGTAATGATTGAAATGAAATTTTCATTAGTCTTTTAACATTAGTTGACGTATATTGACTATTATTACCATAGCAATTTTTTATTTATAAATTAATATTTCTGGTCTTGCTTTTCCTACAAAAAAAAAGTAAAATATTGATGTAAGTTGAAACAAGTTGGTTATTAAGCTACGGGACATTGAAAATGAAAATAAATGAAGTCTATTGGACCCTTGAACAAGAATATCAACAAAAAACGTTGAAATTACTCACAAGACAATTTGATTTAGCCTAATAATCATGTTAGATAATAAATAATGTAATTAAATAAAAAACTAAAATTTACATGAAAAATCCTTCGATCACATAGTAAAATTAAAAAAATATATACTATCAGAAATACATAAAATACAAAAATTCAATGTCCTAAGTTTTTAATACAAAACTTAAAATCCACAGCAATTAAAAATAAAAACAAAGTTATCTCTTTGAAAATAAACCACCAAATCTCTCATGCATTTGGCAAGATATTATGATTCTTTGCCATCAAAATACCCAAAAAAAAAAAAAATCTAATTGTTAAATTTATTTTGTTCTTTCTCCCTAAACTTAATTACCCACTCCAAATGCATCATCAGCTGCATCATCGTTTTTCTTTTTTTTTCCTTGTTGGGTGGTCTTTTGTAAGAATTTGACTGGCCGTTGGCCATTATTTTCTTTGCTTTGAAAAATGAAGGCCCATGGCCCTACATCATAATTTGGGTGGCCCTACATCATAATTTGGGTGGCTGGATCCTTGACAAAGCCGCCATGACTAAAAATATTTTTGTCAATTCTGGTCAACTCCCCTTTTTTCAGTACCATTCTATAAATTATTTAAGTTGTTTATCAAGTAATTAACAAAATATAGCAATGAAAACATCAATGGCTGCAGCTACAAAGCTTTTCCTTGGGTTGTTCATTGCAGTAACCTTAAATATCAGCTTTTGCAATGGAAAATCCAATGGGAGTTGCATTGAAACCGAGAGACAAGCGCTTTTAATGTTCAAACATGATCTGATAGATACTTCAAATAGGCTAATCTCTTGGGCTGATGGAGGGGATTGCTGTAAGTGGCTTGGAGTTGTTTGTGACAACATGACTGGTCATGTTGGAGGGCTCCATCTCAGAAATCCTCCACTGAGTGGTTTTGCTTCTGATTCTGAGGATCAAGCTTATGACAACTCAAAGTTGGGTGGCGAGCCAAGTTCTTCCTTGCTCAACTTGAAATATCTAGTCTACCTGGACCTGAGTGACAATATGTTTGAGGGTCATATCCCATATTTCCTGGGCTCTATGCAAAGTTTAAGGTATCTTAATCTTTCTAATGCTGGCTTTGATGGTATGATTCCTTACCAACTTGGAAATCTCTCTAATTTACACCATCTTAGTCTTCAAGGTTACGGGTTATATGTTGAAAATCTTCAATGGCTTTCTGGTCTTTCCAGGTTGCAACACCTTGATTTGAGTTTTGTAGACCTCAGCAAAGCCTCCAATTGGATACAGGAGATAAACACATTTCGTTCTTTGGTTGAACTAAGCTTGTCCTTCTGTGGCCTTTATCACTTTCCTCCATTAGCCAATGTCAACTTGTCATCCCTTGATGTCCTTGACCTTTCCTGGAACCATTTTGACAATTATTCTGTTGGCAGATGGATTTTTCATCTCAGAACTTTAACTCATCTTAATTTGCAAGGAAGCAATCTACAAGGTCCAGTAGATGGTGTTGGAAACTTGACTTCTCTTAGGCACCTTGACCTTGCTTACAATCAGCTCAATTCCTCATTACCTCTTTGGTTGTATAGAATGAGTCACCTTCAGGTCCTAAACCTTTGCTCTTGCAATTTGCATGGTACAATCAGTAGTGCCATTGCAAACTTGTCTTCTGTAATTACCCTGGATTTGTCATTCAATGAACTTGATGGGAGAATTGAACCATCTTTTGGAAATCTTTGCAACTTGAAATCAATCTCATTGACAGGTACCAAATTAAATCAAGACATTTCCACTATCCTGAAAATTCTTTCAGGATGTATATCTGATAGACTAGAGGAATTGTTTTTAGGTAACTGTCATCTCTTCGGTCCCTTGGCCAATAAACTAGGGAAATTTAAGAAGCTGGCTGTCCTTACTTTGTGGGGTAACACAATTTCTGGTATGATCCCTATGTCTTTGGGAGAGATGTCATCCTTGAAAATGCTATACCTCTTTGACAACAAATTGAATGAAACCATCCCGACATCTTTCGGACAACTAGCAAACTTGGAAGATGCAGAGATTTATAATAATTTCTTGAAAGGAGTTTTTTCTGAAGTCCATTTTGCCAATCTTACAAGGTTGAGGACCTTCAATGCATATGGCAACTCACTGAGGTTGAAAGTCAAGCGTGGTTGGGTTCCTCCTTTTCAAATTGAAGCCTTAGGATTAGCCTCTTGGCACCTGGGGCCTGGATTTCCCTCATGGCTTCATTCACAAAAGTCTTTGCGGTATCTGGACATATCTAACTCAGGAATTGCTGATACCATTCCAACTTGGTTTTGGAACATTTCATTTCAGTTGACAATACTGAATCTTTCTCACAATCAAATCCATGGAAAGATTCCAAGTATGAATATGAATTCATATTCCATAATTGACTTGAGTTCAAACTACTTCAAGGGTTCATTACCTAGAGTCTCTTCTACTGTGGCTGCTCTGGATCTTTCGAACAATTCCTTTTTGGGATCTATATTCGATTTCTTATGTGATGGGATGAATGAGACAAGCCAAATGGAAGTGCTCAACTTTGGAGGAAATTTTCTATCAGGTAACATTCCCAATTGTTGGGAGAACTGGCAAAGTTTGATTGCCATAAAGTTAGATAATAACAATTTTACTGGTGTGATTCCAAACTCAATAGGAAGTCTGAGTTCCCTTCAGTCATTACACCTACGCAATAATAAGCTCTTTGGTGAATTACCTCTGTCATTGAGAAACTGTACAAAGTTGGTCACCATTGATATTTCTGAAAATGAATTTGTAGGAAAGATACCGTTATGGTTCGGCATACGCCTTCCTGGTTTATTCATCCTCAGTCTTCATTCAAACAGGTTCCATGGTGCAATTCCTGAGGAGCTATGTGCTCTTGGTTCACTCCAAATTTTGGACCTTGCAGACAACAACTTATCTGGGACTATACCATGGTGCATCGGCAACTTTACAGCCATGGCGAAAAAGAATGATGACAGTGCAGCTGTAAGCTACAAAACATCAGGAGGAAGCTTCGTTGATGATGCTTTACTCATAATGAAAGGCAGACTGGTTGCTTATAGCACCATTCTCAGACTGGTCCGAAGCATGGACCTTTCCAGGAATGCGTTATCAGGAGAGATTCCGAAGCAAGTAACAAGCCTTTTCCAATTGCAATCACTAAATCTGTCATATAATTCTTTGACTGGCAAAATTCCCGAGGACATTGGCGCATTGAGATTGCTGGAATCTCTGGATTTTTCCAAAAATAAACTCTCTGGTGAAATCCCTCAAAGCATTGCAAGCTTGTCCTTCCTAAGTCATTTGAACTTGTCTTGCAACAATTTAACTGGAAGAATCCCTTTGAGCACTCAGTTACAAAGTCTCAATGCATCCAGTTTTATTGGCAACAAACTTTGTGGAGCTCCATTGAATGAGAGCTGTGATTCAGATGGTTCTGATGTTGTGAATGGAGGAGGAAAGAGCAATGTTACGCTTGAAATAGATTGGATTTACTTTTTTGTGAGCATGGCATTGGGATTTGTGGTAGGTTTCTGGGCTGTTTCAGGTCCTGTTCTGTTCAGCAGGACTTGGAGAATCAAGTACTTTCAGCTTTTAAATCGCATTTCCTCCAAATTTTGGATAAAATGTTGCTAGAGTTTAATAAGTTCAGTTACTTGTGGTCTTGTACTAACTTATGACAATATATATGAAACTAAAAGTTTCTGAATTTATTAATGTTTCTACTTAGGTCTTGTCTGATCTGATATCAAGATATACACAAATAGTAATGGAGTTTGGAGGAACTCTTGCATGCTAAATATCAAAAAACCATGGAGAGATAGCAATGGAAAGAGAAAACAAGACTACTAACATAGTTAGAAAAAAGCGTTTGTGGTGATAGAACATGGATATTGACCAACCATAAGCAGAATTCTGATTGCAATGGCAGGAAAGTGAAAGCTAAAACTGCTGAAATAATTACAAACAAAAACAATGGTAGGAAAATGCATTCATACTGTAATCATATATTTTTTTTATTAAACACAATATGTATTAACTATACGAGATGATTTCTTTTTGTTATTTTTTGGTACATGATGAAGAAATATAACTTGACAGTCAAGTATGCATTTAATCTCTAATATGCTAAATTAACTCAAAATTATTTTTTAACTATTAAAGGGTCTATAGTTCAGTGGTAGATCTTTTGACTGCAGGTCAAGAGGTCATTGGTTTGATCCCGATTGGGCCCTTTTAACAATTTATTAGAAAAATTAAACTTAATTACAATTGTAAGTTTTAATTGACGTTCACACTCTTGGAGGGAAGATTTTAGTAATTGTTATTATTTTAAAAAAAAAAAGCATTTATCCATTCCTGTTTATAACTACTTATATACTCATGTCATGCACAAAACCACGGATATGAAGCTCATAAATTATTTCAAATTAAATTCAGGACCTAAATGTTACACATTGGACATCAAGTTATATATATATATATATATATATATATATATATATATATATATACATACATACATATATTTTCTTTCATAATTTTAAACTACTAATTAATTTTTTAAACTAAAATTGTTTTATTTATTCTTATGTCCATTTACTTGTAAGTGATTGTACAAATTAGCATTCTTTAACTTAATTTGAATCGAAATGTAATTAATTCTATTAATTATCATATAGTTTGAATTAATTGTTTTATTATGATTTAGTTTAGATTTTTTTTTCATGAATATGTTTGAAATGTTAAAATGTGGCTCCTAGAGCATATCACTCTAAATTTAAAATGTTACCTATAAAATAAGAGTTAAAATGAATTTATTTTGAACTCAAAACTTAACTCAATTGATTTATGTAATCATTTTTAAAATATAATATTCAACTGATCTGAAATTCAAATCCAAATATATCTATTTTTTTATTTTTAAATTACAGTCTTCTTTGTATAAAAAAAATTGAACTTATTTTTTCTATGGGTTATATATGAAGTTTGATCGATATTAAATGAAAGAGTATTAAGAATAGAAATTCAAATCAATTCACTATCCTAAATAAAATTCATCCCATTCTTGAATTAAGAGAGGTGAAAAGAAAATATTAAAAGGAACTTACTTTGAAATTCCTTAATTATCATATAATTCACCGAATATTCATCATACCTACTTACATCTCCATTAATTTCTTATCCCTTTTAACCTCCCCTATAACCCTAAAACCCCATCATCAACCACATACATAGATAGTTTGAAGTAACTATATATAACACACAGTATAAAGCTCATTCTTCATGACTGAATTGATCAATTTTCATGGCTTGGTCGAAATATCCGAGGTCGTTGAACACATTGTTGAGCCAAAAGTATGATCATTTATGTATCGGCTAGGCGCCGAAGTAAAATGAAATCCTTTGGGCAAGCAATTCTTCACGTCTTGGCTATGAAAACCATGTTTCATATTTGAGTCCGGCTTGAACGTGACCAAACCTTGAGACTTCGATTTCAATGGCCTCAGTGCACCCGCAACGATTGCCATAGAATTCGTTCCCATCATCGAAGGCGGGGGAGATAAAAGAAGGAAGAAGTCGAGCAAAAACATGAAGAAAAGAGTGCTAGGCATTGTGGGGGGAAGTAGGATTTCTAGTTTCTAAGAGGGAATACTGTTTTTTATTTATGGAGAAAGCATACGAGGGAGAGAGAGGGGTGTGGCTTTAAATAAGCTCATGAGACCGACTCAATATTGCTAGCTGGTCATAGTACAACTTGGTGCGGTGGACAATTAGAGATTTTGCTTTTGAACAATGCAAAGTGATGAAGCTCGTGCATTTCATAACTCTATATCTTCTTGAGTGTTTTTTTTTTTTTTTTGCCTATAACTATTCGGTCGTCAAAAGTCAAGTGCTTTTACATTTGTATTATCTAAGTTTATCGTCAATATTTTTTCCCAATATATTTATTTACCAATTCATTATATTTCAACACAAATTATTTTTGCTTTTTTTTTTTCATACGAATTTAAAGAGATACTTTCCAAAATCAATATATTTATGATTTTATTTATGATTGCTCAATTACTCTTTATCAATATACATTTTCACTAATGCATTGATGAAAACTACAATATTTAGGAACCAAAAGTTATATTGAATAATTCATTAAAAAAAAAAAAGAATGATTACATTGGATGAGATAAACAATTTTTCAAAAAAAAAAAAAGAAATAGAGCCTTGAAAAATATATGACCTTAAAAAAATATTGTTAACAATTGCAGTTTATTCGTAACCTTAGAAGCTTTGAATCAAACTCAAATTCAATTTTTTTTATTCTTTATTTTATGAAATTAAAAAAAAAAAATTGGCAACCAATAAGTCAACTTTGTCCCATGAACTACGATAATCTATCATGTAATATTCGACGTGTACTTTAGGGAAATGTAAAGGAGTCAAACCTTCTCAAATCATATACGCGGAGATTTTTGGATGGTCCACGTGGATAGTAGCTTACCAATTTGGCCAGCCTATTTTGAGTTGTCCCCGAGACCATTACACATCATCTCCTTCATCTTTCTCGTTTAAGCTTCAGCCACGTGTTACCAGAATCTTGAAAAATAAAAGAGGAAATCTTGAGGGTTTTACCAGCAACATGCAAGACCTCAACGACTGCAATAAAGCTTAATTTAAAGAACGCTCTCCATAGTCAACCGATCTTTAGATCAATTAATATATTATTAAAATTAACGTTTAAAGATCATAAATTTTAAAAAAATTATATATATGTATAATTTTTTTTAATTATATAAAAATAAAATTTAAAAATTCAAAAATAAATTAAAATTAAAAACAAAAACAACTTTCCATCAAGCTCAAGCTCCATATGCACGTGTGTGAAAAGATATCCATTTATCAAGTTCTTGGATATTAAATTATAAATATCAATAATGTCAACAAAATTAATCGCCTTTATTCGTGTGTTTTGTAATACGAAAAACAGTTAAAATTTAAGATTTTAATATTAAAATATTAAATTCGGAAACGATTTATATTCGATGGGAGGAATGCGTTGTTTCTCATTCTGTAAAAAAGTCCAATGAATCTTTCTATATCAAAAAATGGCGAAAGATACACACAAATGATATCTTAATTAATTTCATGTTATATTTATATATGTATTATATTAATAAAATTATTATTTAATATTTTAATATAAGATATTAATTTTATAAAAATATTATATTTATATATAATTAAGATATAATTTATATTAAAAATAATATTTTATGAATATTATATTAAATTTAAATTATTAAATTAATTTTGAATCAATTGTGATTTATAAATATATGAATTAGGCCGATATAAAAAATATTATTTTAATATTTAATTAGATCAAATTTCGATATAAATAATAAAGAATCAAGTTAATAAAAACTTATCTCGATCTAATTTGTTGTCGTCTCTATAGACAGGTACGAAAGGTATGAATTATGATCCTTTGGAAAACCAAATAAGAGAAAAATAATAAAGAGATGGAAGATGGGAGTAAATTCATTGAAATTTGTGCTTATGTGTCATGGAAAATTAGGAATGGCAATAGATCGAGGTTTTTTTACCCCAATATGGCATTAAAATAATTTTTTTTATATTTGATCCGACTTAACTTGTTTATTTATAAAATACATCCGACTCAATTAGATTCAAAATTAATGTAATAATTTTAATTTAATATAATATTCATTTAATATAAATATAATATTTTTATTAAATTATATATATATATATATACTTAAAACTCAATTAAAACCTGACTTTAATTTTTAAAAATATCCAATCCGACCTTTGATTTTAAAAGAATCAACCTTGTTGGATTGAAGTGAATTGGAATTTATTGGGTATGAGTTATTTTATTATCTCTGTATAAAACATTGATTATTTGTATATTTATATTATATTTTATATAAAAATTATATATTATAATTCGTATTGATATAAAAAATTTAAAATATATTTTTTATATTTTAATAAAAAAATATAATTTTATTATAAATTTAAATTATATTATTTTTATATATTATTTTGATATTATATTACTACACCGTGTTTTAAATTATTAAATTTAGAATCTACTAGTATCAGCTTAACTCAGGAAATCAACAGCAAGGTTTCATAATTCCTTGCCTGCTGGTCGATTTAACCCAATCTTCTTGGATTAAAAACCTGTCAATGATACAAGTTTATGTGTTTTGTGGGCTAAGGCCTCTAGATTTTTGGGGTTTCACTTCAATTATTCATCATGATCAGAAAGGCCAACATCTCAAACTAGAATATTTTTGCCTTTTGGGCTTAGCGGTATCTCTTGGTCAGCCCAGATGACTGCCACTGATAAACCCTTTGAAGAGTTCCCCAAGCAACTTTTACTAGTGAATCTAATCCAGTTTCAAACCATCATCAATTATAGTTTTACTACCTTTACTGTTAAAAACAGAACTTTGTTACGTTGGATTCATCCAAACACGCCCGGTTTCCATGAAAATAAGAACAAGTTACAAGCAGAGAGACATAAGGATCATATTATCAAAAAGATTTTTCTAACGAATTTTAAGCTTAACTCGGTTAATTTATATAATTATTTTTAAAAATAATAT